CTTTACGTATTTCTTCATTAAAACTTCCAAAATGACTCTTGTTTAACATCAATATGTGACTGAGATGTAAAATTTATATAAAGATATTTAAATAGATTAACTATAAATGAAACAAAAATCTGAACTAGCTACTTTATCATAGTTTTAATAGTCCTTGAGCAAATAAATACAAAGTTGGAAGGATGAACAAGTTCTGAACACTGAGTCACTTAGTATGAAATTTTTGGTTTAGTGAGACATACTAAGGAAGATTTAAGGTTCGTATTGCTTGAGAAATTAAATGCCATATTACGAGATTTACTAGTTATTGTAATAAAAGACTTCTAACTGCATTAAAAACATAATTTGGTATTATTGAAAACAAAAAAAAATCAACAAATTAAAAGAAAGCAAAATAAGACTCTCGTTAATGGTTTGTAACCTTAATATAAATCTCTTATATTTTCAAAAAAAAATATACATACAGAATAAAATACTTAATGATGCATGGAATATAACTAACATAAAACTAAACATCACAAATCCTTTTGTGTCCGTATCTCATTTCTCAAACAATGGATAAATAAAAACGCATTTCCACGTAGGTTTTGTCCTCCATAATGTAAGAATAACAGGGGATTTTGCTCCGTTTCCCCTCGTAAACAGTTTGGGTGGAAGGACTTTTGTTATCGAATTGGTGTATCCATTAAGCTAAAACTCGCTATCTGTCTATTCATTTTGTATAAAAATAAATAAATGTTGCCATTTAGAACATTTTATGTAAACAGACATCAAAAATCTTTACATTTTTGTTAAACAAATCAATTATATAATTTTAATTGCTAATTAGTTAATTTGTGTCAAGAATAAATTAAAGTTTATAAAATCTAACGACGGTACTTCTACCGGGTTGTACGTAAATGTCATTTAATGAGGCAATAAAAAGTAATTACATAAACAGTAGCAATAAATTATGAAAACCTCCAAGCGAAGTCCTTAATAAAATTAAATTGAAGATGAGCGATAAGAGTTACGCTTACACGTCATCGCAAATTAATTCGGCTCTTGTACAAAGATGCCATGTTCCAAATTTAAAACGAAACCAGCCCTTAGATCCCTTTCACACTGAGCTTGAACGATGGTAACCTTTCAAATTATTATTACTTTTTGTTTATTTATTTTTTTGTAAATGTTTTTACGGCTCTGGGTACGAGTCCTTTTGAGCAACTTTTTGTTTTTTTTTTATTGTTTGTTGCCATATTCAAATATATGTAGTAACAGAAATTTATAAGAAATATCGTATATGAAAATTATCAAGGGTTTATGTAAAATATAAACAAATTAAAATAATCTATAATGTTATGCCCATAATAAAAAAAACACTATTCCAAATTCATTACTACGTCATAGATTACAATCAGTAATTGACAAACAATAATTCTATTTCGTTGTATACGGCAAAATAAAAAGTCAAAGCTCATACCAATGTGCATGTGACCCTTAGTCGTTCATTGGCATGAATGCCAATGAATGCCAATGCAATTTTGGAAGGACCACAATCCCACCTGTCCACAATCCGAACATTCTTTCAATTTATTTTATATCCCAGCTTGACCACAGCGGTATGTGTGACGTCATGACAGTTTTTTGTGTGATTTGAAGTTGTTTCAAAACTTTTTGGTCATCATAACTGGCCACATGTGAAAAAACTCTTCAAAGTAACTTGAATATTTCGTAACGACTCCAAAGTGGGAAATGATATATTTGTTCAAATACTATCAAAGTTATTTTACGGCGAACCCGTCTTACGTCGTGCAAACATAACTTACTTGTTCTCAATGGCCGGCACATTAATATTCTTCGTAGTGTTGTCATTCAAAGTGAGCTATTTATTCGATTGTTATCATACATCAACAGATAAAAAACAATTTGTATGTAATGTTAAGCCTCCAACCACTATACAACATGTGCGAAAACTGATTTTTATTAGTATGTATAAATGTCAGAAATCTTTTAAAAACTTGTCCTGACTACTTGTTATTCATAAGTACATAATAAAGAAAAAGAAAAAGAATTTAAAAAAGAAAACTTTATTAAATAACAATCGTAATAGTTTATTTAGCAATCACTATGAACATAAACCGTCACGAACAAAACCGAGGAACCATACATACCAATAGATTTATTTAAAATTTAAATAACTAAGAATCCGAGCTGTTGTCAATGGAAATGTATTAATATTCCGCGCTATTGTCAGTTACAATATAGCACCAAGACCGACTGTGTATTGGAATAGCACCAATTTATTAAAAGGTTTCGTTCACGACGAGTCAAACATTGTCACTAAGACCACGTTTTTTATAATAACTCTGCTACGGGATTTCATTTAAAGTAGTCTAAGGAAGGAATAATGAGGCAAATTAATTCCTATAAAGGAATATCTATACATTGAAGTTCAGTTTCAAAAATCAAGAAGCCGCTGCCAGTGTAGGTACTGTCACGAACAGAAGGCAAAGCGGTCCCCTCTTCCGTTGCACCCTAACTACTTCCTTTGTATAATTAGCTGCCTAATAAGCCGCCCTGAAATATTTACCGAGCAACGACCTTCTGTTCTCGAGTATACTCTTAATGGCCAATAGATATTACGCTATCGAAGATCGTCTGTCGAAGCTGCAAATATTTGCAATAGTTCTTAGCAAATTAATTATTCTTCCGTAGTTCCACAATAGAAAGAATACGAGAATATAATATAATTGATAATGAATTTTAACATATTCATTAATGCTACACCAAAAGTACATATTCAATTACACTAAAGGATACTGTTATTAATAATTACTATATTTTAAATACATTTGATATATAATTCGTGCACATTGAGGAACATGCCAAAAAAACGTAAAAAATCGTTAATATTATTTTCCTTTGTGAACAACACTAAAACTATCCTTACAACACAAGTTTTTATAATTATAACAGTTATATATGCTTCAAATATATTTGATACATTTCCAGCATATATACGCGCGAACGTATTTACATGTGCGTTTAATTTTCTTATACATAAACATATTTACTTGATTCATATCCAACATTTTATTCGATAAATTTTTAAACATAAATTTGCATGTTTGTTTAATTTTCTAATATATTAAACTGATTGATAACGAAGATTTCATTACACATGACATCCCTGGCTCATCACAAGCGTCACACACATGCGGGTTCAATTCCTCATGCATATTCAAAGCTGATTGGATAGCGGTAGTATAACAGAGCAATATAAGCTTTACATCTCGCATATAAGAGATACGAAAACAAGTTACCTCATGAAATTCTACATGCTTCCTCCGCATTGAATTTACTTTGAGTTAATTTTGCAAAATGTGCTTTGCTTTGCTTGGATGGTAATACAATGTTGAACTTTGTACGATATCACTGTCCGAAATGTTTAATAGGATATGATGTTACGAAGTTTTATTGGACTTTTCAATATTTTATCCGCTGCGGATTCGCTGTAATTCCATTGATGGTTTTCTATGTTTCGGTTGATGTTTGAATAAAGTATATATATTTTTTAATTTGTTAATTTGAAAACATGCATAGAAAAAATCCCTACTAATATTATAAATGCGAAAGTAACTCTGTCTGTCTGTCTGTCTGTCTGTCTGTCTGTCTGTCTGTCTGTCTGTCTGTCTGCTACGCTTTCACGCCTAAACCACTGAACTGATTTTAATGAAATTCGGTACAGAGATAGAGTTGACCTTGAGAAAGAACATAGGATAGTTTTTATCCCAGACTTTTGAAAGGTTCTCTTGGAAACGCGATATAACCGAACTCCACGCGGCGAAGCTGCGGGCGGAAAGCTAGTAAGTAATAAATATATTGCTATTTGAATCATCAAGTATTGGTCAGAACTCATAACATTTTATTTCATACAAGCTCTGTTAGAAATGGTAAAATATTTTCTTTTTCTTGTACACAGTGATCTACATCACTGATGCCGTTTTTTTCCGCATAGCAGATAGAAATAAGTAAAATGCGAGGGTGGCGAGCCAGTTAATTTGATATTATTGTGGGCAAAACGTTGGAACTAATAGGAGAAATCGTTCGCTTCTAAAGGAAATCTTATGACTTTTATTATTATGTAAACATTTGCCGAATCTGAGCAAAGATAAATAAAAATAAACTCAAAGTTTTCATCTCCTTATTTAAAACTGTTACTACGGATGGTTATGTTATAGGAAGGTAATAGAAATCATAATTTTGACTACGAACCTCTTTCCCCCTACTCCTCGTTTCGTTTTCATAGAATCTATAATTCAATCCCAACGATCTGTACACCGGAGACAAACGGTTCAGTAATAAGCGGAAAATTCCGATACGCGCCATTGCATTAGCAATATTATGGTAAAGCTATTCCGATTATTGGATGAACACGTGAAATGCATCTGAACCGATGGATGTATAAAATTTTTCTGAGGTATTGCTTTTTAGTTTAATGAAATTCGTCTTTCGATTTCGTTATTTGTAAACAATACTCATTTTGTGTTTTTCATCATATGGTTATTATATTGTTTGTTTTGATTTATATAAAGATTTATTAATTCCTCTTATACTACATATATTCTTTTAAAATTCAATTTTAAGAAATACTATAGCTACAATATTCCTTCCCATCGGATTCACCTGGGGGCGTATTTAAATTGCAATATTCATTTTCTTTTTTGAAAACACTCGCCCCGTTCTTACCCTACCAGATTTACATTCTAAATTCCCACTTTGCCATACTCTGAAAGGTTGTATAAGATAAACGTTTTCAGCATTGAAACATGAAGTGTACCATACATTTAATCGGCTTATTTCTCTGTTACTAGGAAGATTTATGTTCATGTACGCTATAATATAATAATGTTTTCATAAAATATATATTTTATGAATGAAATATATAACTTAGTTGCATATTTATGTCCAATAAATAATTACACTTTGTAGCTAATATATATTGGAAACAATACTGATTATATTAAAATTATCATATTATTTACCTCAATAGTTGTCTTCCCGGAAGCTTGCCATTTCATGAGATGTTCTCCTTTAAGGGACCAGCCAGGGGCATAGCTAATCAACCCTCCAGCTGCTGTCTTGCTCTCGGTTGTTACGTCATTTTCGGTCTTTTTCTTAGGGCTCGTTTGAAGCCGGAAAAAGCTTCGCCCATGAATCTTGTAACTTTTCGAGGGGGAGAAAAAAAATGAATTCTTTTTAGGCGATTTTTCTTGTTCATCGCTTGCTTTCGATGTACTAGCTTCAGATGCATCTTGTTCAGTTATTTCTTGCGTGTTATGTTCTACTGCAGAGGTTTTAGGTCCTGAGTTTTCGTCGGCAACGAATAGTAAAGTTCTTTGTACAAATGGAGTTGCTTTATTATAGAATTCGAACGGCTCAGGAACTTTGAAACTTGAAGGTATTGTTGTACGGTGTGACTTTGAAAATCTTCGCTCCATGTATTTTCTTGCCATGCCATTTACATATCAAATTACAATAGTTTATTCACTTCTACAACTAGGACCGAACATTGATCACTGTAGTTAAATTTAGAAACTTATTTTGCGACGATCTCTTATATAACATTAAAACTTATTTTAAGGTCTATATTGCTACAAAATACTCAATATTATAAGCATATAAAACATGGATATCATAAAATAAATTACACAAATATATGTATGAATAAATATTAATAAATATGAAAGAGACGAATTCAAAATTCTGAATACACATCTAGTTATTATAACCCGTGACTAAAGGCATTGCTTGCAATTTTCACGCGGAGGCTCTAGCGATCGATCGTTGTGCGTGGGTAAACATTGTTCCCTAATATTTTGCAAAGCACACAAAACAATATTAATAACTGTATTACAACGGTGTAAAGTATATTTTCCTATAAATACAAGTATTCCCAAAATTTGTAAACTCTTTCGTGAAGAAAATAGTAGATATAACACGTCTTACACTGCGAATTGTCCCCATAAGATCCATATAAATCATGATAAATGATATTCATACAGATGCGATAAAATAAAAGCAGTTTTTAACATTAAATTAGATCTTTATAAATATTTGCACATAGTTGTTCATTTGAGTGAAAGTATAATTTTTCATATATTTAACTTAAAAAATAATCAAAAATACTTTAGAATCCCATTTATTTTAAAGCAACGTTTTACAAAGTTACTATCTCCCCCAATTATTAACTGAAAGTGGCAATTAAGCTGTCATTTTGAAAGTTTATTTACGCAGGGAGGTATTGTCTTATTAAATTAATAACAAGTGATAATTTAGTTCAGTGACTAAAGTGTTATATCATAAAAGTTATAAAATTTGCTGGAAATAATATAAATTTTAAATCAATTTGCTGCAAGTTTAAGGAATAACTAAATCCAAAGTTGTGACTTACGCTTACAACATCAGAACTTTTTAATAATGATAAAAATTATGTAATACCTATAGTATTGTTACAAATGAAATATATTAATTCTGGACGTATTTTCTCGTTGTCTATTTTATAAATAAATATAAGTAATGATAAATCTGTTCCTCTATTTTGATAGCTAAGAGTACATTCAGTCTCACTAGAGATTATTGTCGCTATAAACATAACGTATAAAGCTCTAAACCCTTTAATAAAAGTTTTAGTTTCGTTTATTTATGGACACATTAAACATAAATTGCCCGTAGTCACTTCAAGTTTCCAACTGTTTATCGTAACTAAATTCATCTATATGAAAACTAACTATGGAATTGTAAATTTAAATAAGTTGTTATAAAGAAAAGTAACTACCGAAAATATTTAAATCATCACAACATGGTTTTTCTGCTGACAAATTATTTGTTAGACTTTAAATAAAAACACGCAGACAGTACGGACCTAAATAAAACAAAATAAAACTATACTTTTGCAAATGTTCCAACAAGTGAATGGCATAAAAATTATATTCCAACTCATTAAGCCAAGGAGTTCTGTCTTCCAACTAAAATAGACCTCAGGTAGAAATGTTATTCCCAGTCGACTTTCCATCCCCTTTGTAAATAGCTTTCCGATCGGTAGGGGGACTTATTGCATTTAGATGAAATGACGAATTGGAGATGACGTACCGGGATCAGTACAATTGACCGCACGAAGAGAAATTTACTTTTTCATACACTGCCCGTGGGGCTTTTATTGGGAATATTTGTTCCGATTTTTGATATTTCAATTTTGTACGTAAATGGAAGTTAACATATTGTCTACATTAGAAACAGACTTGTGCATTAAAAAATTTCTAGTTAAATTTTGAATGAAATTAAGGAAATTTATTTTATATAATAAAATGCTTGAATCTCTTAATAATTTATAAATTTCAATGCTGACTCTGAAGAAAATTGATATACATATTTAGAAAGATTACTTTTATGGTTTGTGCTCGTTTGAGTACTACTGATTACAGTGTGGTTACTAAGTCAATTTAATTTTAGGTAAGACAGCGCTGAAGTTTTATCATATTCACTTCTACAATCCGTTTGGTAAGCTAAAATTAGATACGGTAATAAATAACTTTATTTCAGAAGAAAGATAAACAAAAATCTTAATTACTTCAGATCAATGAACTCTAGTAGGTAGATGTCAACGTAATGCTTTAACTAGAATCAGAAATAGACGCTCACCCCAGCCGCGAACTTAGCTGTTATTTTTACTATCTTATTGTAGGATCCGGAAATAAACAGGATATACCAGCCTTTGATGGTTTTAAATGTAATTTCAAATAAAACAAATCTTTCGATGAAGATGAAGACTAAGATTAAACAATTACAACATTATTTTATCGAAAACATTCCTTGTCTGTATATTTTAGTCTGCCTTCTCAACTACGAAGTATGTACATATGTATATAACAAAACTTGGTTATTTAATCAACTTCATACAATACAATGTAAAAACTTATACTGGTGTGTTGTACCGAATAACAGCAAGCTTAGTGACACGGCAAGTTTAATTAAGACGTCGCGTCAAGAACCGAATTATGTACCACGAGACCCGAGGGAAACCCTTTCAAATAACTCACTAAACAGCCGAGATGGAGTCATACGATTATAGCCTTTAAGCCATCCATATAAGATATATAGCTGATATCAGTAGTGAGCAATGCGGTAGGTTTAGTCCAATATGAGTTATTGTCATAGCTTACTGGGTAAGTAGGATCAACATAATTTAAGTGAGATGAAGGCAAGTCATTTTGATGAAAAAAATGTATGACGATGGACTGTCAAATATATTTTAATACCACTTTGTTACCTCAGTATATTATGTTTGAGTTAATTTTCACTTTTAAGTTTATATTGTTAAAAGTAAAACTATAGCTAAAGAACCCAAAAATTGTAAGATAACATTTTTTCCTATGTTGCTTATGAAGTATTTTTTATTTAAATATGCATTAGTATAAGTACAAATTTGTTCAAACAGAGAAGAAATGTATGAATATTAAAAAATACACACAATATTCGTAACTCATGCATGCAGGCATTAGTTCAAATCAACACCTCATTAAAATGCATACAGCCGCCCTTTGCTGGACGTACAGCAATTATGTGATTATTAAGTACAAAGCCCATGAATAATCGCAAAGATTTACTTTACTGAAAATTATAATAAACAAGGAAAATATACTAGCATACAAATAGAATGAAATATAAAACAATTAATAACATATTATATATCTTATCCGACAGACTGTTTCATTTCTAGAAATTATAGTTGAATTGGTACAGAATATCATTTGTTGTGTGAACACAATCTTTATTAATAAATACTTTGACAAATTATTTGAACGCTAAATACAATAAACAGTAATAAATTCCCATGACAAGTATATTATTCCGTTCAAATCTAATCCTACCTTATGATAGTATTATCGTTACAATTACATTCATTTGAAGTAACAGCCACCAAGTTCTATACAAAATAGTCCTGAATTACTTGTTATTTTATTATATTATGAATTCTAGTTGAATTTAATTTTTTTAGAAATGATATTATTCTAGATGTATGAGTTTAGTGTTAGATGCTATTTTATTCTTAAGAATTCATTTAAAATAAGAAAGCTATTACGAATCTTCGATTAAAACAAATTTTGTACTATTGTGGAACTCAATTTCATAACTTTTTTTCATAAAATAAGTCTTCAATTAAATGAAACTTCTATTTTTCGGATACACGACGCGTGTTTTATTTTTGAAGAAAATACACATAGTCGCGAAGTTAGTTGAATTTAAATGAATAAATCTCCCGAAAGTCTTAGATCTCTTAAAATAAGTCTTAAAATTTTGTCGTGGTTCGAGTGCATGAAAATCTATTATCATGGAATAAAATATAAATAAATGGGCATAGGAATCAGAATAAACTATTTGTCATGATTTAAATTAATAGTTATTTAATATATATATTACTTATACGGGTTCCATACAAGTTCTATTGGAATGCTATAGATTTGTATATTAGTTGGAGCTTAATAACACGATGGTATCCTTCGGGTGAAACGACCCAGCATCCGGACCTATTTATAATTAGGAGATTATAGTAACACATTGAGTCCGTTCAAGTATTTTATGACTGGCCTCGTCAACTTAACGGTACGTCCATATTAAAACATAATGTAATAATAAAACCCAAAAATGTTATGTCCGAATATAAAGAGAATATAATAACTGAAGATTAACATAAATTTTATTTTTATACGAATTCTAAAGAAGAAATTATTACAACGGAATAAATGAAATTGTGCTTAATTTGGTGCGGGCTCGCGTGTTGTAGGGATTAAGCGGGAATGCGGGGATTAATCGCACGACATGTTACTGACGTAGAAATGTCTTCTAATGTATGCTTTGAAGCTTAGTTAATGTTGTACGCAAATGGGTATCGACTGTTATACATGTTGTATACGTAAAACAAACGTGAGTCATTTACTCAACAATAAGTAAAGATGGGTTATTTAAAATTGTAGCCTTAAAACGAATGGTAATCATATTTCAAACGAACCGTTTAAAACGAATCAAAATAAGACGCTTCAGGCTGAAAAACTTTATCGGTACGAAAACGCATAACAAAAAATTACCTGCGGGAAAACGAAAATTTATCCACAAATTAGTAATTTTCCAATGAACTTCATAACAAACGAAAGCTTTAACTTGAGGGGGAGCAAGATAAATTTTGGAGTTCATTTTGTACCTTTATTAGGTAAATATACTAAAGATAGAATCTAAAGTATATTGCAAAAATAGATTATGTCTAATAAAAAACCTTATATACCTTATAAAACCCTCTCTTTAAATATTCTCTACTTAAACGGAAATAAATAATAATATAGAAAATAATTACATACAAATATTTCTGCGTAAAAATTTATTACAAATATATTACAATAAGTACATACACAAATAATTTTATACATAAATATAAATGTTATAAAATGTTAAACAGTAAATAAATATATATTAAGTTTAATTAAAATTAGTATTCGATTAAGAAATCGTCGCAAAATATAACAACAATATATAAACAAACCGTATAAAAATCCTTTCAATATACATCAACTACACAATCTAAAAATAACTATTTATAAGTCACTTTAAACTACACGCAATCACTAAAAAGTTATTAATAATACAAAATTTGATACAAAAGTTCAAATATCACTATCTATATCAAACAGTTTTACTTATTTTTCATTCACAAAATTTATAAGCAACACTTATGAAGCACGTGTTATAAACGTATACGTTTCCTAAGTTAGATGCGAACGTAATTTTCCCGCCACGCAGCCTTCAGGGCGGCAGCGCGTTTGAGGAACGAACAACGACTGCCACGGGGCGGATCGATGCCGCCCTCCGCAGGATACGGATTCGGATACTGGATGTGACTTAATATTTATTGTTTTACGAAACTTCGAGAAATACATTCCCGATTCCGGAATTCCATTATTAGAAATGGAATTAATATTGGTATTGAGAATTATGTTGGTGTCAGAATTAATTATAGTTTTAAATCTATTATGTATTATATTATTTAATTATTGCCATTTCATGTGTATTACTTATTTAATATTTATATTTTACATACGTAAGGTACATTAAATAGTTTAGTATTTGACTTTTTCATTCAAAGCCATGGTGAATTGCCTGTGTGTATAAAATAGTGGCGTATTCAAGAATCTAACAGTTGTCCATCCGTCAATCTCCCCACACCGAGTAAATATAAACCAAACGAATTGAATAACTAACGAAAGTTCACGTATACGTATTCGTAGAACGACCGGCCATCTATCTAAGAGCGTCCCCTTTCGGAGACTGTATTGAGTTACCGCGGAAGCGTTCCCTTTCCTTTTATTCAAAGGTAAAAGTAATCTTATTCCAAAATCGCACTGAAATTTTACAATTTGTCTCAAATTACATTTAAAAGTAAATTACAACGTCTTTTCTTTGAACCCCATCGACGGTTCATTTTTATTGAATTTTGTTTGATTGTTTTATTTTGAAGAAGAATCGGTTCTTAGACTTGATTAATGACATATATTTCATCGAATAAACAATGTGAAAATCATAAAAACTGTTATTATTACTACCCCATATTGGTTAACAAACAAACATAATATTACAGCATTGGATTCAGATTAAATTTTAATTAATTTTTATTTCCTTACATAAATGCAATACCCACGCGCTGCCCTAATCTAATTCAGAAAACAATTCCGATGTAAAACATTTAATTTTAAACTTCGTCTGTTATATCAAAACTAGCGTTTTTAACCCCTAAGGTTCTTTGTAAAGCCTCAAAAGGATTGTTCACTTCTACGTGAGATTGTACCGGTACGTTTCTGCTTTCAACGCAGATTAAACAGGTGTTCTGACTTGGTTGGAAACCTTTGTGTATTTTGTAAACAGTTTTGTACACAAAGGAAGAATTAAATGCCTCTTATGTTATTTGATTGAATTTTATAAGCAACTGTTACTATTATTTGTAAGAAATATTATTAATTAATTGGTAACAAAAAATAGTAATAGTACTAAACTTTAACTAAATTTAATGATTAATTAAGTTTATTTGTTAAAATAAATTAAAATACCACTCATTTTGTTTGTTAAGTACAGTTTAGATTAAGTTTAAGGAGATATTTATTTTAAATACTAAAGATCTTATTTACTTTAAATATTGAATTCTTAAAGTAAATATACATATTTTTTTATTACCCTTTTTATCTTAACTGTACTTAACAAGAAGTGACCGTTGTCAGAAGATTTGAAAGAGAATACGCCTAAGGAAGTGTTGTTCAAAATGTAACGGACGCACCGTTTGACTGATTGAGCTACTTTTAGCTTCAGGAAGGGACGCCTGGTATAGCACAATGATACTAATTATCGCCCCCGTCATCCGTCAGGAAAGATAGACAAATACAATCCATCAAATAGGATGATTATAGAAATTGTTCTCTTATTTGCTGTATTCTATATTCAATATCGAAATGTACAGTTCATAATATAATCATATATTTTAAAAGTAATAATATGTGTATATAAGTATAATATACTTCTAGTTACGTCAATTATATAATGAAATTTTTAAGTATAGAGTTTTTATTTTTATATATCAGATAATATTCATATTCTAATAGCAAAAACATTTTCTTTAGTTAGTGAAATAATTGTTCAATTTCAATAAGAAAATAATTCATATAAAATTAAACTATGTATCGTCATTATTATCGTCATTATTGTTAAAATAAATATAATTTAATTTTCAACCGACATCCAATTAGCGAAAAGAATGAAATCAACTGGAGAGCTATTGACGGAGATTTTAAATTTAAACTATGCGAATACCATTTTAATACAATTAATAGATTGAATTAAATTTATTATACAGGGTGACTGGTGAATTACTATCGATACTTGAGGACGTGATATTTGACGATCACATATGACAAAATAAAAATTTATATATCATAAATATTAATAAACTTCTAAGTAAAGTTAACCAAAAGTTACGTAATTAATTACGCATCGTGTGAACACCCTACAGATTAGGTATACACACACACTCACACATACGCGTGCGGGGGCGTGGTGTTGTATCAGCAGGCCGCCGCACGCGTCCACACTTGGAACACTTGGAACGTGTCAACACTTTATTTATTTATACGGAAATTTTGTCAAAAATTAAGTGCCTATTTTTTTTACATAATTCGAATGAGAATCATGTACCGAGTATTCTCCTTAAATATTGATAGTAATTCACCAGTCACCCTGTATAAATATCATTAATTTGATGATTTTCATATTCGTGTTTTATATTAATACCTCACAGTAATATTCCCAAAGGGATCTTTAACTTTTATGATTTATTTTTTAAATTACTGGACACTTATGTTTCAAAAAATAATATAAACTCATAATTTTTACATACCCAACAAATTTAATACGTAATATGTGAGTTCGATTTCGCGCTAACCTTATTTAAACACCTTGGTCACTATAATAAATTAAGAAGAAAAGCAATGAATCCTTGTTTGGACAGCAAAAATAAAACGATGCTCGTAAAACATTTCAATGACTTTATATCTTTCTTATAGATAATGTTGATATAAAAAAGTAATGTTACATTAAACGTGCTTGAAAATACCTGTGAAGATAATTTTATTTTATATATAGTTTATTGAATTTAACTAGAAATAATAAGAATTCGTTTAATATTTCTAAGAAAGTATGAGTTAATAAATCAAAGACCTTAATATTTAGTATCACATGTGGTATCATAAATAAGGGTTACCGGTTCTTTGAATTTTCAAGGAATTTGAAAAAAATCGTATGGAGTCGACTATTAAATACATCGAAAAAAAATATCAAAATTATATAAATAAAGTAACATCTGAAGTTCACATCCAATTCATTATAAATTGAAATAAAGATAATAAATGTATCGCTTTCTTTCAGTATTACAACTCTTTGATAACTCGAGTATCCCAGCAAGTGCAGCCGCGGTTGGCAACTAGTCCTTCTGAAGTTTAATAAAGTATGAGCTCTCCCTTCTCAAATACGCAAAGTAAACTCAATACATTATTAACCATCACCCCCAACCAAACGTCTCCAACTTTTCACCTTCAACATTGATTTATTCTTACACAAGATGGCAATAAATATATCTTAAGAATACTTCCTACTTCAGTATAAGAAGATCGAGCCGCATAGTATTATGACAAGGGTATATGTGGGATTTAGAAAATGCTATTAACATATCTTTCTTTAGTAGAAATGAAGTTCTCTTTTATATTTATATTATACCTTTTTACAAGCTTTTATAAACCATTGCAATGTCTGCGTATGTATTTGTGAATGTTATTGATTCCGTTTAAATCATGTAACTGAATATTTAAGAAGTAATATTCAACCACTTAAGCTAAAATTTTGCATACATGCAATCTAAAAGTTCACTTTGGATGACAATGTGTGATTAAAGAGACGTAATTCTTTTATTTAATATAGCAACGTAGCTAAGTTGGCTAAGTAGTTAGTTTTAAAGCATTTTCAAAAAATAGGTTCAGATGAAAGGCCTTGCTAAGGGCAATTCGAAAAAATTCTAACAATAAGTAATACGTTTAAAAAACACATAATAAAATAACGACGCAATTAAATAACAATTAAATAATAAATGGTATGAATAATTGTAACAATTTAAAAATTCACTCATTGAATATGAACATAAAAATGTCACAAGATACTTTTTTATTATATAAGTTATATTAATAAGTTTTAAGTAGACTAAAGATAAAATATATAAAGATTAAAATCCATTTATTTTCGTTTTAGACCATTCATATTAGAGCATGTTTTTTAAAAGATTTTTACTCTCAATATACCTATTTCCGGATAGGATATTTTTTATTTAGAACTTAAAAACTTGAGCTATAAAAACCAAATATATAAAAAATGTTTTTTGCGACAATGCACACATATATTTTTATTCTCCACAGATTTTTAAGTGAAAGATTATTCTCATGATTTTAACTTCCCTGAAAACAATTTAATACACATATAATGTTGCAGGACACAGACAAATAACTGCTAATATGTAAACTTTTTGTTTTAAATCATAGATTCTGAATATATTTCGACCGTCGGTATTTTTTAAATTTGCGTTAGGAAAGCTTAAAGCTTGTTACTTTTAAAGTAAATGCACCCTCTCTCAATTGAAAAATAGATTCTAAGGACCCAAAGTTTGGCCGGAAGGAGTGATGCGACAGATAGAGCTTGAATTTTTATAGAAGCGGCAAATTAAGAAAAATACATATTTTTAATGTTCTACGTTGATGGCTAGACTTCAGTCAGAAAAAATTTAAAGATTTTTTTTATATACCTACAATTCACACAGATGTCTCGTACCAATTATATTAATATAACTATCGGAACTGAATATTTGTCTGCGGTTATCAGTTATGAAAATTTATGTTCATTACTTTATTTTAGTGGGTGCCAAATAACATTGCTGACCGCAAATTATAGTTGAAATTCGTAATAGTCTCGTTAAATACATCTGCACACTTTTACATATGTGGTAATTTTGTAATTCTATACTGTTGAAGCTATACTTCAAAACAAACATAATATTGGAAATTTGCCAAGAGAAACGGTTACACTATCTGCTTTACGATAATAATTTCATATCCAAAACATTGACTTGAAATAAACACAGAATATCTTTTATTTTCCTCTCTTCCAAGCCAACATGTCTGCGAATTGGCCGATAAGATTACTTTAGCGGTTTATTTAATATTCTTCAACTCTGAATTACTAAGCCATTATATAAGTTTCACAAGGATTTAAGTACCGAGAGATGCACTAAAATGTAATAACTATATTACTATTCCACGATTTTAGAGCTATAAAAAAATTTACACGATAGAGTTCGTGTTATTAACTGAAAGAACTCATTGCCTTCTAGTTTTGTACGAACATTATACTTTTATTCTCTTATATAATTGAAAAATCGTACGAAGTGCCACATTTGTTTCAATTTCCTTGTCAATCGTTAACAAGCCTGCAGACGATAATTAGGTTACAGTCCCCGCACGTGAGCAGCAACTCTGATACCCTCAGGCCCCCCTTGATTTCACATCAAACTAAACCATTTCCAGTGACAAAATAACCAGTAGGTATAGCTGTTCTATAGTTCTATTGTTCCTTTACAATTTTCAAAATATCCTATATGAGTAATTTTCGGATATTAAACATACGTTTACTATTACACGGACCACCACATTGGTTTCAATGAAAATAAGTAACAGGTACAGTAAAATCAGATATATGAAAGCGTTTACCCGTTTACCTGAAGTGTCCTTGCGTATCCTTTAGCCTGCAAGGTAAGTGTTGCCGAGTAATGTCGAGAGCTGCCGAGTGTTTCAGACTGTTTGCACTCACTTTTCCTCTTGAACTTGCTGTGTGACTTTTCCCATATATAATGTGATATACCCGTCAAGTTTCAAGACCTGTTTCTGATTTGTAGGAAATTCATTGTTTCACATAATGACATAGATTTCTTAATTTTATTTGTATTACAACAATTTTTATTGAAGAAAAGGTTTCATCTCAAACAAAGATATTTTTTTTACAGAATATCTTTTTGTAGAAATGAATTCTGTCTTGTAAAAAACGAATGACGAAATGAAACTTCTTAGGATTCCACGGATTCACAGAGCAGGTGCCGGGTCCAACGCGTTGCAAAGAGAATAGATTCAACCGTACCTGGGACTTGCAATCGACACGTACTCGTAGATTTAAGGGGCCCCTATCTTACGCGCTTTAAACGCTCGCTTCCACACTCCAAGCTCCTATCCCTACCTAACCAAAGTTTAAAGGAACCTACTAGAACTGCCTTCGAGGTACGTTAGAAGAACGAATTAATGTTTCCTCTGAACAGACCCAAGTTTTTTAGTAGGTTGTAGAGGGATTTAGCTGTTATACCTCTCGCTCCAACTTCTGATGCGTACAAATCTGTGACGAACCTATTCCTAGTGAGTCTATTTTAATAGTAACCGTATGTACGTCATCCTCACTATGCTCATATTAAATAGACTAAAACAATTATATTATTTCAAAATTATTGTGTATCCAATACCACACACCAAAACACATGATCGTATTAATCAAGAAATAAAATAAAACTTCTAAACAATGATTCAATTATTCATAAATAAACTTCATTTTCTCTAGAGTATTCGTCAATTCTTTGAGGCCCTCGATGAATTATTGTTAGCGATGAAGTAATTGCTCTCACATACGCAACCGCAATCATTACAAAAGCGAACCATGTTCGGTTACCGTTCGTTATTTACTTTAAATGGGCCCATTTGGAAATTAACTGCTCGATTGCTTCCGAATAATACGCCAGTGTAGAGCGATATATGGAAGTTGTTGAATGCAGGGAGATTTGAATAATAGAACTTCGGTCTGTTATCAACTAAAACTTTTTGAACAGCGCCACCTTCTAGACAGTAGGGAAAGTTATATAACAATGCTAAATTATCGAGCGCTCCCATAGAGGGCACTACTTAAAACTAAACATGTTTTCGTTAAGGAAAAAAAAAGAATTTTGTTATTTTACATAAATATAATATCTTTTATACCTATTTATTTATTTATTTATTTATACCTATTTTATGTTATAAAATTTTCTTGTCTTGATGGTATTGAAAACTAAATAATTCATGATCAAAGTTTTACTATTCACATATAGATGACGCTACTATTCAAGAACCAAATGATATCGTGAAGCTTTTATATACAACAAAATTCTTTTTACTAACAGATGGCTCTGTCACCCACAGTGTAAGTATTCAAAATAACGTAAAATTAATAACTGATATTTTTTTAACTCGATATAAAATTTTATCTATGACATAGGTGCACATAATATAACTTTGTCCCTTACATACACAAAACAAAGATTATAAACAAGTCAATGTATCTGTATTTTTGGATTAAAATTTAAATTCCTTTACCAGTAATAAAAAATAGATACTAATAAAAACTTCAATATTAAATAATTTATTAACTGACCTTAATTTGTTCTGTTGCCTTTTTCGCGACTGCAGGATCCAATATTGTGACGTCCAGAGCCGACGCACATTTTTTTGCTGACGCACTAAAAACTGCAGCGTTAACGTAATGAGCGGATCCTTTTTCACTAGTCTCTCCGGGGGAATTCGGTGATAAAATACCGCTATCTGTGTCACTAACATTCAAATTCTTCGGAGGTATAAATTTTTCACCAACAGGCGACTTAAGAGGTATTTTCGACCTGTCCCCAGCTTTCGATGGTAACCTTGATTGTTTAGTTCCTTCATCAGATTTAAAACCAGTATAAGGATCAAATATGACATAGTTATCTTTGTCACACCTTACTTTGTTGTTAACGGTTACTGTATATTTTTTATTTGGACTTAAGTTTAAGAATGGATCTTCGTTGTCTATAGGACTTTCGGGTATAATGGATTGGATTTTAGGAGTAATCTTTTGTACTGACTTGCCTCCGATAGTTCTTCGGATAACCGTATCGTTACTGAACTTCAGACGAACATATTCGTTAGATATTGTTCTTCTTACCGGCGAAGATAGCAATGGAGAGGGTTTACTTTCTTGCGCAGTACCTTTGCCTTGAAAAAAATGAATTTTGGGTTTATCCATTGTTTTGACAGGTGAAAATGGTAGTTTTAATTTTGAATTTCTTTTCTTTTGCACATTACTTAGATCTTCTGTGTTTTCTTGAACAGCGCTTTTATAAACCGGTAAAACACTAGTATCTAATTTACCTAATTTTGAACCTTTACCACTCTTAACATCTACATTTTTATTGAGCTTTTTGATATTTATTGGATTGCTTAGTCTTTTTTCTCTCGATTTTCTTAGTCCATCTTGAATATTTAAGTTTTTGCTATCTAATAACGTATCTTCTGACTTCACAACAGTTTTGCTACTATCACATCTTGTTAAATTATTTTGAGCGAGTAAGTCTACATCTATAGAATTTTCCAAAATAGTTTCAAAAATGATATCAACATCACTGGTGTCGGAATTGCTTTGTGATGATCTATTTTCATTTATCATAGAAGATATTCTTTCTTCAACATCGATAAGTCCATCTGACTTATCGTCGTCCACGCTTCTGGACGTGCCACTACCAGAATCCGAAGGAGTTTCATCGAACACAGCGTCCACATTTCTTCCTTTTTTCTTTGAATCCTCTGGACACGAGGATCTTCTTTTCACTGTCCCTGTCGCTACAGACGGCGAGTCCCAGTCTAAACTTTGTAGAGCACAAGGACCACTCTTTTTGATACGTCTTAAGCTAGTCATTATTAGCTTCTTACATGTTTACATCACACATGACTTTCATTCCTGATAATTAGAACAACGTTGGAACAGCGTACGGTACATTGTAAATACATGATTAGACCGATAGCGTTTGGTAACATAGTGGTCATTAATTTAATCGAACACGAACATGTCGGACTTGATTGTTATCTAATTACGAACGTGGAATAAATGTGACACTAGGAAACAATATATGTCAATGTGGTAAAAGGGCTGTACGGAAGTGACCATCGGGTAAAATAAATTATTTAATTTATTACTTCTTTATTTAATTTATGTTATATATTTTCATTGAAGACCTTAAATGTAAGCAAAATTTTGTAAGACAATTCAATGAGAAGTCAAATGAAATGAAATAAGGTTCTAAAAACTGCTAGACAGCGCGGCGGCGAGACCGGAATAAGGTTTGCATCGTAAAACTATTTCGCAGGCGGTCTATTCAAAATGATTTTCTTTTTATTTTCATGCTTACTTTTTTGCCTAGAAATATTTTAAAAAAGTTGCAGACGCATTTCGAAATAGAAAGTTAGTCGAATGATACTATATAAAATTATTTTTTGTCCAAAATTATGTTTAATCTATTATTTGGATATTATTTCAAGGTTATACCTAAACAAAATAATTTCACCGAATTATGATTCGGACCTGTCACAAAGTTGCAAAAACTTTCCACTTAATTGCCACATCAAAGTTAAAGTAATGAACATAACTTCTGGATAGTTCCTAAGAGATTTTGACAAATTACTCGACAGTGTCCTTGCGGTAATCTAATAACTGGAAAAGTGGGAACAATAAATAACTTTGCGAATATGACAGCTGAACTTACTTGATTAAGATAAATGGTAAGTTACTTAAATGACATAGTATATTGAAATATATGAACATTGAACAGTCTATTAGAGATTTTAATTATTCAAAAGACATGTAAATTTTACTTTAATAAAAGTGATTAGAAATACTATCAAAACAAAACAGTATAAAGTCAAGTTATTTACTTGACTTTATAGCTTTTCCGATTATCGGTGTGAGTCATTTCTATTCTACCGTGTACAGTTTTATTTCAACAATAGACACAACAAGTTTTCTTTAAAAAATTCTAATATCTTTTCTTATGGAAATCTATTGAAAAGTATAAGGTCTCGTTTGTTCCTGAATTTTACGATCGAATTTTATTCTTTGTATCTTAAAGCTGAATTTATAGTATTGTTCACAACTGAAAGTTTACGCATCTAAAATGAGAAATGCATCCATTATCATAGAATTATCACATAGGTTCTAAACATCGTTGTTCTGGAAAAATTGAGACTCATGAATATAAAATCTTACCCATTACCGTGTTATGAAATATTAAACATACTGCGAAGTACAAATTTATTTTGATAGACTTAATAGAGCGTGAAATTTTCTTAATTATAATTTATCAAATAAAATTCTCTATCTTAAGTTGTTTTTTTCATAGATATTTTGTCTACATTGCGACAATGTACTATATATTTGTATAATAATATCAAATTAGTTAGTTTCTAGTCCTTTAAGTCGTCTCGTATTATTGTTAGAGATAGTATATACGCTAGCTGTATCTCTGGTAACAGTCCCTTGCGAGCAAAAACAGTAACTTAAACTGCCTACCTTCGTACTCCTTAAGTGATTTACAAGCACCCTGCGTCCTATTCCAAATAAACCTCCAAAAACGCAGCAAAGAATTTCAAGTTTTCAACATAAATATTCAGATATTTTGGAAACAACTTTATTGAATTGTCACATCAATAAAAAAATCAGACAATTTAAATATTTGAGTTATAAATATTGGAAATATTCCACAGTATTGAGGTTCTTTTACATAGAAATGTTTATAAGTATAAAATAGCAATTCAATAATTTTACGTATTATATTATCTATTAATTGTGAATATAATAGTCAAAGTTAAGAGTTGAAAAAAAAACAAATCCCTCTGGGAATGGCCTCTGAAATAAGCTTAAAATAAGCGGATACAATGAAAGTGGAACAATTCAAGACTCGTTGCATTACTTCTTCAGAATTTTACATCTCTTTCTTAATTTATTAAATAGAAAGGGAGAGAAGTGAGAAAACTGAAATTGAACTTGCTCTGCTATATCCTTCTAAATAGGTCAGGAAGGCGAAGTTTACGTCGCAATTTGGCATTAGGGAAACCGAAAGGCAATAAAATCTACGGTTTGGGGGGTAAATTTGAAAATTATTCAAGACTGAAGCAATCCAGAGTTGAAATTTTATGTATAAAGTAGATTAAGTAGATATTTAAAAGGCTTCCTTATCTAAATGTCTATATATACTTTAATTAGCATCATCTATGATAGGATAAGAATTGATAAGTATTATTCTTTTTCATAAATACCATTAGTGATAGATATTTTTAATAAATTTATCTAATATATTTCCAATTGTTATAATAAACATGTAATATCAAATCCGATTTCGTTAAAACCAATATAGATACAAGGCAATAACAGTTATGCCCCTCACGCGGTTAATAAAAGGAACTCATAAAAACCAATACAAAAAGTACACAGGGTATTCGACATTTTAGTGTAACATTAACACTGCGATGTTTTGTCGGAACATTTGCATTGGGGCGACAACCCCACATTCCGTTGCACTTGCTCGATTGGTCGCATATGTGCATTGTAAGATGTTACCGAGCATACATTTATATTACTGCATTTTTAATGCACTATTTGTATGCATAAAAGCATTTAAAATTGTGTTTTAAAAGTGCATACAAAACCACGTACTTAATAAATTCATTTTAAAAATAATGCTTCGTATAGCAAAACGGTTACAGAAATAACAAACTATGATAAAAAAATAACTCTAAATTTTAATTCATATATAAAAACAATCAAAATAACGCAGCACGTGCATAAAATATATCTTATAGGTGTGGATCTATTAAAATATATCTTTATTAAAACACTGACCACTATCTTATTGTCATCTGAAACCCAATCATCATCGTTTAAACTGCATAATCTGTTGTTTTTCGTTCAACTATCCCCCCTATATCTACCCTATGCAAGGGAATGCATCTGGGGGAATTTTCGATTAAATATTTAGATGAGATTTTTCGAGATCCATTTATCACGGTCTAATTGTGTAGGGTTGACGCGCTCTGAGGACCTGACCCAAGATCCGGTAAACCTTTGATATGATAATGTAATAAGTTATAGTTTCATTTTAGCTTTAAGATGAAATATAACTCATCGGAACGTGTAGTTATATCTCTTCGACATAAGCGAAGAGTTACAAACATTTAGTTTATACATAAAACATCGAACTGTTTATAACTATTTAGATTTCATTGATAAATTATTCCAATAAAATCAAATTTTAATAGCTGTTCATATCACACAATTTGAATTTGCGTTTGATATATAATTGAACACAATTAATTTTTCTCCTAAAATTTTAAAATATGTACTATAAAAATAAAAGAAACGTCTTTTGACAAGTTATAAAATGAAATATATATTTTTCTAATTCCGATTCTAATTCAATCATATTTTGATTTATTTAAAATAATACAACTAAGACCTATAAAATTTATTATATCTAGGCTCTACACTATTATTCCTAAACAAGGAGAACTACAATATTGTCAATAGATGATATAGATCATTAGTGGTTTTTTGACTCCTAAATAACCAAAGAGCAGGGTGTCGTAATTAAATTTTAAAACCGCCCCACAATTATTTTTTCTCCGCCCCGTTTGTTACATTACGATGGATGAGCTAAAAGCAATGCAAAAAATCTATTCGCTCCTAGAACGATTTCTTCATAGTGGTGTTGAAATATATTCAATTTCTTTAAAATAAAATAAATGATCTTCAGTCTACTTTCTACTAATAAATATAATAAACGTGAATTTTTATACTGGTGTGTGTGAATTTGTCTTTTTAATGACGATGAAACTACGACACTAGTTTCGAATTTATTTACTTTTCGCCAATAAATCTATAGAATGGTAGAACTTTACAGTAAAGTTCTAACACGCGAGCAAAACAAGTTAAAATCTAGTCAAGTCAACAAACATAACATATCAATATTATACAAAAAAGTAGGTTTGGAAATGTAACAATAAATATTAAAAAATATTAAGATATAATATTTCCCTTGTACATTTTCCTTTACAATGTTTCCTTATTTCACTGTATCCCTAACAATATTTTCTACTTAGCTAAAGCCGTTTGACGTGGACTTTAACGAAAAAAATCATATTGTATTATTTTTATAAGGTTATTCCAAAAAAAATATTTCAAACGAAAAAAAGATTGGAAATTTTTAAGAAAATTAAAGCAGCAGTAATAACTGGCTGACAATAAAAGTTATTAAATTTATTTAAAAAATGTTTTAGCAACCCTTCCCTGGCACACTGCCACGTTTCTACCGAGAGCCGTAATCCCTCTGATATGAACCTCATTCCTATTTATATGCAGATTCCAAAGCCGACCATAAGTTATCCGTTCAAGCTACCGGATCATTCCCTTAATGACTACGTGTAAACGGAAAAAGTACTTCGATAGGGCGTTTTTGTCTAACATGGAACTTTTTCACAGTGAGTTGGAGGCGCGGAATTAATTAATAGCATCGCCTCATCTTATTATTAAAATATGTAAAGGGGATTGGACGGGTTAATAACATTAGTGACATTTGGTTTGTTGTTTGTTTTTCGTATGATGTTATGTTAGGGTCATGAAAATTATGGCTACTGAAACAACAAACAAAAATTATTAAGTTTTTTACAATAATTCAACAATTACTTAAAACACTACGTTATGTGTAGAGTTCTGCTGATAAGACAATTTATAATTTGTACAAATCTACAAGTATCCAATATTATACTAATATTAAAAAAGAAAATAACCACTTTATAATGGAATCCGTAATTAATAAACTGATTAAAATATTAATTATCAATAAAATCTTTCATTGTTGGCAAACAAGT